GCTTCGTGAACCTCAGTCACATACACTGATCCCTACACACACACACACACACTCACCCCAGCAGCAGCTCAGGTGAGCGGTACCACCTGGTGGCAACATATTCTGTGTAGTTGGCATCTGTTCCTTCAGACAGGTTACGAGCAAAACCTGAAGCAGATGGAAATAATGAATCAGTTTCAGCAGCGACGCAGAAACAACAGAAGAAGAAGAAGAAACGAGTTCTGAGGCGTCGTGTGACCGCACTAATGATGTGACTGCAGGTCGGACAGAACCGCTCCCTCAAAGTCCAGTTTAGGCAAGAAAAAGTCACAATAAACAGAGYGGTGGCTCCAACAGTGAATAACAAACAAATCTCACCCCAGCTGACTCACAGGGATCACAATTATTCAGCGCTAACTGACCGTGAGATTTCTGCAAAYCCTCATCCAAAACTGGAACACACACCTAAAAACTGTGGCCTATAGTTATATTTAACTGTGTTTTAAAGAGGAACAAGCAGCTATTATTAACACGACTTTAAAGCTGCCTGAATTAAAACATCAGCTCTGGTGCTGAAAGAAAAACAAGCCAGAGGCAGAAAACTTATTAAAGGTGGGATTATCACAACAAACAAGGAAGTGGGCGGGACTAAAGGACAGACTGACAGGAAAACATGACACAAGTAAAAAGAACAAAACAAGATAAACTATATTTTCAGCAGAGACTCAGGGAGAATGTGGAGTTTAACGAACTCTGATGAAGAAGCTAAAACCAGCTGACAGCTAAGCGTGGTCAAATGCAAGCTAAAAGTAAGTAAACACAAGCTTAAAATGGCAAAAAGCTAGCTAAAATACAAAGTGGCAAACTGCTAACTAAAGGTAACAAAATGCTAGCTAAAATGTAACAAGAAGTGGCAAAACATCAGCTTTGAATTAAAAAACTGTACCTAAAATCTACTGTAGCAAACTGCTAACTAAAAGTAGCTAAACAATAGCTTTGAGTGACAAAATGCTAGCTAAAATCTAAAGCAACAAGCTGTTACCTAAAAGTAGCAACAAGCTAGCTAAAATACAAAGTAGGAAACTGCTAAGTAAAGGTAACAAAAGGCTAGCTAAAATGTAAAAGTAACAAGAAGTAGCAAAACACTAGCTTTAAATTGAAAAACTGTAGCCAGAATCTACTGTAGCAAACTGCTAACTTTAAATAGCTAAACACTTGTTTTGAGTGACAAAATGGTAGCTAAACTCTAAAGTAACAAGCTGCTAACTAAAAGTAGCAAATGCTAACTAAAAGTCAAAACCCAAAATATGCAAGTTGCTAACTGAAACCCAACATGCCAGCTAGAAGCTAAAAAAGCACTAATTCATTTAAGAGTAAATAGTTTTATTTTATTTTTTATTTATATTCTTTAAATGTTTAAAATCTGAAAACTCACCAAAGTCGCAGAGTTTGAGGACATCTGAAGAACTGA